CTGGATTCCCATTTCCCTAGTTTCCTCTCTCATGTTCTCTCTTCTGGAGAGATGTATGTACATGTTCTTTTTCATTCAAATGAGACTATGCTATGCACACTGCTTTTCATCTTGCTTTTTACTTTAAACATTAATCTTGAGCTTGTTCCATATTAGTACAGTTAGAGTTGCCTGTTCTTTTTAATGGCTGCATAATATTCTGCTCTATAGAGTGCACCATATTTTATTTATTCAGTTTCCTATTAGATATTGAAGTTATAACCAATCTTTTGCATTAAAAACAATAATTCAATAAGTTCCTTTGAACACTTATCTCTTGACCCATACATAAAATTTTTCTAGGACAAAAATCTGAAATGGAATTGCTACATCAAAGGATTCATATTAGAAAAGACTAAGATTGAGAGTAAAATTTATTCTCCCTTTCCTGCATTCCTCACTTCTCTACTCTGAGACAAGATGAAAAATCAACTTATTAGTGCTCAAAGAAATATGAACTAACTTCATCTGTCCTCCAGAAATAAGTTTGATTATTTTGTTTTAGCAAGTTGTCTAGCAAAACTTAGCATGTGGTTGTAATATGTTTGAAAAGACTTACCTCACAGTGCTCTCGATAAAGACTCTGCAGTGACTTGATATCCTCAAAGGTAGTACCATCTGGCAGAGAAGAGATTTCAACTTCTCCAAACTCTGGAAGTGCTCGAGATGCATCTGTTACCATGACAACACAACAGAAAAAATCTTTGTGGATGGTGCCAATTACAGATTAAAGAAGGAAAATTTAAGAAGACTAAAAAGAAAAAAAATTAAAGGTCAGAGGTCCAAAGAGTAAGGATTTTTGATATTAGTATTTGCAAGCAGAACTTGAAAACATCATTGGCACAAAAAAATAGAGGGAACATAAATATTTACTTTGGAGAAAGTAAACTTTCACTATGACTATACTGGAAATAACATATAACAGTGTCTCTTAATATAGGGCCACTATTAAAAGAAAAATACATCTCAAGCTGGCCGGTTATCAATTTTAGCTATTTTTACTATTATGTTAGATAAGTATGTAAAAAATAAATCTAGCTTTAAACTCATTATGCTCATACCTCTTACATAATCATAAACCACAAGAGCTACAAAATAAATACAAAGAAAACTACAAAAAAAAAAAAAACATTAAACTTAACAACATTAATTTGATGTGATGGATGATGCTGTTGTCCTGTAAGTAAATTATCTCTCACAACATAAATATGGTATTGACCACTGTGACACGGGATCTTTTGAGTTTGACAGGCCTATACCAACATGTACTTCATGGTGGCTGGTTCTCCCATTACTCTCTTCTGCATGCAAATGAGTTGTGAAACTTTCCTCCACACAGAGCACTAGGACATCATTCAGCCTTCCCTTGGGATGAAGGCATAATTTACACAGTAAGTCTCTCTCTGTTCTTTACTAATTAGCTCTGGACAATTAATGCAAAACACTTTGGTGCCTGCCTTATCATAAAGTCAAATATGAATGTAGAAACTAAAATTGTGGGACAGTATTCCTTCTAGTCTTATAGGTAATCCTGAATATGCTTTTATCTTTTTTAAGATTATAACTGAAATAAAAATATAAAAAAATATTCTCGAGAGCTCAAACGTCCACAAGAATATACCTGAGGTCTTTAGTTTGGGAAATGCTGCCATAATATTTTCAACTTCAGGAGCTGTTCCTATTTGAGAGTCCATTTTAGTTTGTCTTTGGCAGAAAGTGCACATAGATACATATACACACACACAGACACATACACACACGCACTCTCTGATAGCTTCTACTTATCTTGATCCATTGTACAGAAACTATGCATGTTCATCTCTAGAAGAGCTGTCAATTAAATTAAAGTGCCATTTTTGCACCATTGGCTATGATGGGAATATGCAAAATGTTCAAGTTCCACTTCCTAACTCTTTACATAGAAAGAAACATGTACATCGCCTAGAAAATTACAAAATAATAATAGAAAGTACTATGATCAACTTAAAAGAATAAATTATTTTTTAAAAGCTTATATTTTTTTCTAATCTGAGACTATATGCATATGTAACTTTATACATAAGAAATAAGAATTCTTTTTGGTACTTCAGTTAGTACTGAAAGTAAACACAACACAATTTTGATCACAAAAGCCCAATTCATATAAATTCTGGAAAACAATTTCACAGCAATGAGCCTTTAATTTATATACATTTAAAAGGCCTACATAGCTCAAGATTTTAAAAAATAAACTGTAGTAAACATGAGAAAATATAAATGAACTAGAAATATCATATGATGTGCATAGTTTCAGCACAAAAAAAAGTCTTTCTATGTTAATTAACATCTATAATAGACATCGCACTTGGAGAAAACACTACTATTGTTCTCTTGTTTTCAAAATCCTAATAGCAACTAATATGCATTACACCTTAACATACCTAAAAACTGTTGATGATGTTGACTTTGGGCAATTACAGTTTGCTCAACAGATGTGCCTGTCTGTTGACCACTTCCTGTGAAACCATCTGCAACCCCATCCACTTTCTGCATAGGCTTGTACCTAAAAATATTAGATGGAAAAAAACAAATAAACCAAATTATTCCTTGCTTTTTTGTACTACACAAAACTCCCAAGGCATCCAATTTTATTCTATCTTCTTTAATGTCTCATGATAGTTGTAGGCTTTTTCTCCTTAGTCTCATAGAGCTAAAATTTTTAGAAATTTTTTCAATTGTGAAAAGTAAAAAGTGGGTAAGGGCTAGGAAGAGGATCCATTTTAGAAAAATCAGAAATTTATCTAAGAATAAATGAGTTATGAGGTATTTCTTTGGACAGCAGATGTCCAAGATCATAGTTTTAATACACGATTTGAACATAACTTTTAATGGTCATTGGATCAAGGGAGAAACATTTTAAATATGTTGGGACTTTAATCTGAACTAAGGTCTGGGAACTAGGGCCTGAGAAATGTTGATGAACGGCTTTCAATTAATTAGCATCTCTAAAATATGAATCAGCCTACGAACTCTACAGTACTGTTTTTCATATCTCCTAAAACCTCCCCATACATCTCAACACATTCATCTCCCTTGAATCCTCACATCTGCAGACACAAAGACCTAAAGCATCAGCTTGCAGCAAAATACAAGCAAGAATCCATTGACAAACCTAATTTTACCAAAAAAAAAAAGTCAGCTACAGTTATGTATTTATCTTTAGGTTCTAGTCATACAAATTCATGGATTTTCCATACCGCTAAGACAGAAAATATGCTCCAGCAGCATGGGGAAGAAGGAAAGACTGCTTGGGAGAGGAATACCATGTATGAAAAAAGCTTGGGCAACCCTCCTAGGATAAGCAAATACAAAATAAAAAATAAGCAGAAACTATAATTTTTTCTTTTACTAAGATTTCATTTACATTTTTTCATTTAACAAATTTAGAAAAACAGAAAAACTAAGAAAATAAAATCCACAATAAGCTTATGTGCTAGAGATACCATCATTTACTTTATGCTATTTGTCCTTGCATTCTTTTTTTCCCCTATTTTTAATCATATTTATAAACAAAAGCACCTAATAGTCTCACTATCCAGACACTTGACTCTTACATTAATACCATAAGGCAACTGGATCATTAGTATGAAATTACTGTGAATATCAATGTCCCTAATGCATGATGCCTGTATTCTGATAACAGATATAAAATGAATGGACTTGGCCAAATATCATACAAATGTTCTAGTTGCCGTAAGGAATGATTCAATCTTGAATGTTATTAATTATATCTTAGATAAGTAAAACTTCAAAGAAAAATTACAGTCATTCATAATGACATTTATATTTGTTTCGTATATGACAGTAACTCTCAAAGAACTATGAAAAACAAAAATAAAGTCAGAAGATAAACAGTGTAGATAAAGGCTACAACACATTTCACTCTTGTTATCATTTTAGTGATGACTCTGTATCCCCAAAATGGTACTTGCTTTTTCTAATGATATAAAAGAACTCAAACTTATTCTTTTATTTAATGGAAAAACCATCTGAAAGAACTTTTCAATTGGGGCCATACCAAGAGATGACAGAAGGATAAGTATTGTGATGTGCTAGAAGCACTGTTTATGAAAAATTGAATGTTTTTCTCATTTTTTTCCTCCTTAAAAAACCATCTTAGCAAGGCAAAAAAAAACTTTGTGAGGCAAGCACTTTGAATACTTGTGTGGGGGAGTTGCTAACCATTCTGTTCTAGAAAATTTGAATGATATTATCCTTAGGAAATATATTTAAGTAAGTTTCTTGTCCTCATTGATTCATTCCAGGTTTCATTTGATTTTAGCCTCTCTTTTTCAGCTATGAAATTTTATATCAATAATAAAAAAAGCTAAAATTGTTTAACTATGTTTCTTCATTTAAGTTAATGAACTATGGAATTCATGGAATTAATAAAAGCGATTAAAGGAATTTTAATTATTTACCCTGGAGAAGAGAAAATGGAAATATTTCCTATAGATCTCAATTATATTAAAATATTATTGTAGGATTAGAGAGTAATTATGAGGCTTTCGCTCAGCTACATTTATCAAGTTTCCTTCGTCCTTCAAAGCATCAAGTATACTACGGATGCTTAATGGCACAAATATCAAGGACAAGTGTAATTTCACCGTAAAAGGAAATGACACATATTCCTCTCAGATTTTTAGAGGATGGATGCTATGTTACAACCTACTTGCACACAGTGCTTAACAAGCCTGTAGCCTGCAAATAAAATAATCGGCTTCCTTTGAAAGATGTAGATAGTGGACATTCCTAAGGAAAAGATATATTTTTAATAAGTACTCAAAATCATGGTGCATTATAATTAATGTGCAATTATGCTTAATAATGATGATTTTGAGTGGAACGCACTGATTAGAGGTACACTATATTATACAGGAGATGGAAAAATGCATCAATATTAGCTTACAGAAAAAAAGGGAATAAGTTGGTAAACTGTGGAGAAGCCATGCAGGTCAGTGATTAAACACAAATCATAGGAGTGGTAATGAAAAGAAAAGAAAACACAGTCAGAACTGGGAAATAAGTTCATTTTAACCATAAAAGTAAGGGTAGCAAGGTGAATAGAGGATTGAATGGATTAGGCAAAACTGCAATATGTGTATTCATTCTTGGTTGCCCTGTCAATATGACCTTTGTAAGCTGGAACCTCATGTTGTACTTCCTCAGAGAAAGGTGTGGGGACAAGTTTGGGAGGGGTGTGTGCCATAAAGAATGACGTCAGGAAGGGCAGGAATGGCTCATATACAAAGCAGTATTAGTATGAGCTAAGTATGAGATAACTTCCAGATACTGCTGACTTTTGTTTTTTCTGCTTTGTTTTAAAGATTGAATTATGTGGTGGCATACCCACAGTGTCTTGCCTGTCATTGGATTGGTACTTAGAAGGAATCTCCAAAAATCACATATGTAGATCTGAGGAAAGCTACATGTTCATTTTCCAGATGCTCTGAGAAGAACATCCTATCCCTATCGTCAACCTCAGAGGGTTGGGTCTCCCCAGAGAAAGAGGGATTTTAACAGGAAGTCAAGAACAGGTATATTAAAAATAGGCTAAACAAATATCTGTGGTAAATGATTCTCCTTGGAAGAAACAGTTACAGATGATATTATCTTATATTAGGTTTTGAAACCTAATTGTATGTAAGTTGTCAGGTAGCTTTCAAAAATAAAACTTAAATGCTAAGCTCACCCTAGATCTACCTAACAAAATCTCTAAGAACAGGGCTTAGGAATTGATTATTTTAACAAGCTTCTGAGATGTTTCTTAAGGAGCCTGCACAACACTAGTCCTTAGGAGTCTGTTGGCTTGATACAAATTCCATCAGCCCACTGTTATAGAAGTACATCTATAACATTAGAGAAAAGTCATTTTTTTATAATATGTCATTGATTTTCAATTCTTTTCAATAAATCACACTTGGGATATAAATAAATATCTCTGAATGGATGATGAATGAATGAATGGATGCTTAAGGTAACACTTCATTATGCTATTAATTGATCTTAATGTATATCAAATCAATTTAACAAACGTTTATTGAGCATTGACTATGAACAAAACACTTAGGGGCACAGTTTTGAAAAGGCTGTGTATAAACAGAATTTTTCCAGGCTGGTTTTTATATTCTATTGACTTACATGATAATCCAACATTATTTTAACTCTGGCTGAATTTCAACTGAACTCTTAGCATTGAAACATCATTTTCAGATTTCCTGCCTTTCTACCTTCTTCAAAAAATAATCACCATTTAAATATGAAATTGTAAAAACCAGAGGTACTTTCTACTGAAAAAATTTTTTGTTGAATTTGTTAAATAACTGAACTCTCTAGTAATCCTTTAAAAAAACTGAACACTCTCCCTTTTCTTCCATTTATTTTACAGATTCATTATTTTTAGGTTAGGCTGTCTTATAGTAGATTATTAGTTTTCCTGAGTTGTGTGTGCTCTGAAAAAGACCTGAGCTGCATCTAATAAAGAAACAGCTCTTGGTTTCAAAATTAGTAAGAGGCAAATGATAATTTTAACAGCTTGCAACTCCATGGGCAATTAGAGCTAAAGTTGTTAATGATTAAGAAATCAAAGAAACTCTAATGCTTTAATAGCCGAGTGTATGCATGAAACCTGTCACTAACACAGAAAACTTGGAAAATTATTAGGAATCTTCCCCGATGAGGTCAGTCATAGCTGTTACTGAGAACATGGAGAGCAGGAACTCTACTGCAAAATAATATCTAATTCTGTCAATAATCTCACATGTACAGACACTGAAGGAATCCAATGGAAAGCAAAGAATGGTATATATTTACCATCACATTCAATTAACTACCAGGTGGAAGGATTTTCAACTGACACATTTGGAAAAGTCTCTTTGCCAAATGTTAAGTTATTGTATTGTTGGGCCCCTTTGTTGGAGCATCTTAGACTTTGCTTAATGAAGAATGCAAAATCTGAATTGTATTGGCAAATAGAGTCATTCTTATGTGTACCATCTAGAAAGTATATAATCATTTAATTTACATGAACTAATCTAAATGTTGAGCTCATAATCAGGGCAAGAGGCTAACATTTTCTAATGGAATCTTGTGATTCTCTTTGGAAAAACTGTCCCAGAAATTCTTTAGATGACTTGAGGTCTGAAATGAACCAAATGATACAAACATGAACACTCAGAAGAAAATAGTGAATATTAAAAGTATCATTCTTTCAGAATAGTAACTGATGCCTTGATGTCATATGGAATATGTCTATATCTAAATGACTTCTAACATAAACTCTGATGGATAATGACAGATAATTCCATCTCTTCAATTCTCTTGGTGGCTCTTGAAGTATTTGTCTCTTCATTGGTTCTACATCTATAATGGGCAAGGAAAGGAGGAAAAAAATTAAATACAAATGGGGTAGTTGTATTAATTGTAGAAGTTTGTAGAAAATT